AAGCGGTCAGAACATCAATGAAACATCAGGGACAAGATAAGGATCCATTCGGCCTTCTGGTAAAATCCATAATATTTGGAACCAGAAGTGGTCATTTACTATTACACCAGAATCCAATCCGAAGGACAGCCACCTCAAAGATTTGATCACCTTTTAGAATTTTGCTTTTGAACAGGGCTACATTCCTGCTAAGCCAAATAGACCATGAAATACCAAAAAAAGGCCATATTCTAAACTTGTTTAGAAGTTTTGCAGAATGGTTGACTATCCCAAATGGTAAGAAAAGATTTCATGTTGTCCGGGATGATAAGATTGACGTTCCAAAAGGTGCACCAATTTTACCAAATTCTCCAAACTATCTCATAATGACAAAATAAATGAATGACCGATTCTTGTTTCGAATGAAAAAGCCACATACTGCCGACTCCAAATTTGACACCCCCTCTTTTGGCCAACTCTACAGAGGAAGGGATTCTATGTTGAAGGAGCTTCGAAACGAACGCTTCAACTTTTGGTGGGGCTAAATTTGCCCACACCAAGGACCAAAGAGAATCCTTATCATTTTTGAATATTGATGCATCCCTACAATAAAGCCTTGGACAGTATCTACCATTCGGAGATCCAATCCATGACAAATGATCCACATCGGCTCTAATATTTGCTGTTCTGTTGATTGTATTCATAAAATCATCCCATATGTTAGTTTCCCATTAAAAAGTAACTCTTCTAATTTTAATATTTCAAATCCACGAGCCATTACACTTACACCAAAATCACGAATCTTCCCACTCTTTTTAACTGTAACACCGTAAATCAGCAAAAAAACTCTTTTAGAGAGGGAACTTCAGTCCACCAGTCATCCCAAAACTCCATCAGTTCTCCATCTACGACAAATGCACTTCAGGTTTTTGGTGAACAAATCACCATCCTTAGTTAAGGGAAGGCAATGTTTTTTCCACATCCAAGACGATTTCCAAGGATTGAGGGGACGAGGCACTAGTGAAGACTGGTCAGAACCATACTTAGCATCGATTGTCCCCTTCCATAAGCAATCAGACTCGCAACCATACCTTCAAACCCATTTATTAGGTAGAGACCAATTTTTAAGCTGCAAGTCGAAAAAAACCCAACCCATTAATCTTCCCACTCTTTTTAACCCTTCAACATAAACTATAAATTTAAAAATTTATGGATTTGAACCAATAAGTTATTTCAGCGGTAAAATAAAATGTTATTCTTTTTAAATATTATGGGTTCGAGCAATTATGTTTGCAAAATGTGTGTATTGTTAATTGGTTAAGAAAATCCTGAACATATACTACATTTTAATCATCTCAGACTATTGAAAAAATTATAGATTTTGTATAGTTATTGTTGATGTATAACTAAGGGAAGAGAAATTTTATAGTATATGACATTAATTCACTCATTTCAATTTGAACGAAAAATTATTTAAAATGGATATAAAAATATCAGTATATAATAATTCAATCTTTTTAATTTGAATACAAAATCACTTGAGAAATAACCTTACACTCCTCCCCGTCTATGATTGAACATCAACTATTATAAATCTAAAATTTAACTTATTTTGTACGAATTAAGTGACTTCAGTTATTGAAGTGATGATTATTATTCATAGAGATATTGAGTTTGAGCACATCGTCTACAAAAATATTTGAAATACATTATAAAATAATTGGAAATATTTCAATAGAATATTATATTGTAACCTCATACTAATAAAAAATTAACTTATTATAACGTCGGTGAATAACCCAAACATATTTAAGTAGTTAAAACATGAGAAAAGTCAAAGATTGTATCTTTCAAATGTGGAACGGCTTGTCTTGACGATCCACTAATCAAGTATTGGTTACTCCAGCTTTGGAAATACTTGCATCTTGACTTTCTCATCCCACCGTCATTCTCATAAATCCAATAATTGTGGACTAATCAAAATATAATACATTCTCTGATCTAAGCTCTCGTTAATCCTATAATAATCAGGGATGAATTTAAAAATGAGAAAAGTTTTGTGGTTCGACTTTATCCCATGATTTTAACCTATTTCTATTTTTGTCAGATACCATAAAACTATAACTCTTGTCTAGAATATTATGAAGAAAAAAATCAAGATTAATAATATCTATGAAACTATATAATACATGAAATGACTCGATTTAGTTAGGTATATAAGCCACGTGGGTAGCAGTAGTGGTTTGCAAGAGGTCAGGGGACACGAAAACCAAAACAAAGAAAATGCTGTTAGGTTTTCATTTCAACCCAAGACAAAGCCTCTTTTGGGGGTAACCACATTGCCCAAAATTATTCTCCCATTCTTTATTCATCTGAATTTCGTTTATATTAAACAACATTCTTGTAATTTAAGATTTCTTTTACTCAAATTCTAATTAGAAACTAAATTGAATTTTATTATAATTATACTGCTATTAGATTACTTAGTGATTAAATTTTTGGATACATAACATATACCGTATTTGTACTCTCTTTTTTTATCTTCATGTTTATATTAGATTATTATTTTTCTCGTTCATGTTAATAGATAAGATCGAACTATATTAAATCTCGTATCTCGTGTGTATCTTATTCTATGTTCATTTATTTTTTTCGCTCCTAAATTTCTAATGTAACCCTATAAATAAATAATAGAAATTAAAGTTATTGATTAAGCATTAGATGTCAAAAAGTGATTGCAGTTACAAATCTTTTATAATTTTAGTGAATTTCTTTTCTTTATCCATGCTATTTTTCCTTTTAAGAGTTTACACAGATATTTATGTCTTAAATTTTTTTACTGTCATCTGATTATGTTATCTATTTGTGTAACTTGTAAAAGTGATTATATCTTTCGACAATATCATTTCAAAGATTCAAATCTAAATTCTCTTTGTGAAAGTATAATATACTTTTCCATCGATCCAATATTTATTAGATCAATTTTTATTATAAATCGATTTAAGTTTAAATTATATTTTATCAAATTCGTATTAAATTTAAAATAACAAATTTTGAATCGAGTTCAAGTCAAACGTTAACCAATTAAGTTAAATGATAAAGTGAAAACACTAAAAACAAATTATCATCCCTCGGGTAATTTATTTAAGATGCCGAAGTCACCTCTTGATACAGATCAACGGCTATTGTTCATCACCCTTACTATCATCACAACAATCAATCAACTTGGTATCTACACACGTCAGCATCTGAGCCCTATTCGCTTGCAGCTCCCAGTCAGTGGACCCCACTACACACAGACTCTGAGATAAAATCCGAGCCCAACCGCAACGGGCATGCCCACCAGATAGAAAGCGCCGAGGTTCACGTTAGCCGCGGTGGACGGACGTGCACTCCCTCTGAGGACCCCACATCCCACCGTTTGGGGACAGTTCCCGAGCTCGCATAGTCCTAGGATTGGAAGCGCAATCGATGTCAGCCGTAGGATCTCCGAGTCTGATGTGAACATCATGGCCCACATAGCCCTCATTGCTGAAGCAAACGTCGAAGCTGATATGCCCATCATGGCGGACAAAAACACCGCCACCACAGCGGATAGCCTCGCGGTGTAAGGACGGTTTTCCCCCAGGGCGTTCCCAACTCGCGTCGAGACCGCGAAACTCAGCGAAGAAGGGAAAACGTATATCAACGACGTCGTTTGAATCAATATCCCCATGGAAGCAACCGTCGCCTTCGGGTTCGCCAAAATCCCACACAGAACGATCATGATCTCGTACCACCACCACTCCAAACAAACCGATAAGCAGCTCGGTGCCGCCAGCTTCAGCAGCGGTTTCCAGCCGGTGAAACATTCCAAGCTCGGCTTCTCCCATGTCGGCTCATGTATGCCGGAGTACCAAACGTAAACAACGAGGGAAACGAGGACGAAGAAGTTGGAGATGGAAGCCGAAGCAGCCACGCCGGCAACGCCGAAGTTGAAATGGGAAACGAGAATGAGATTGATCTGTAAATGGAGAATGGTGGCGATGAGGGTTGCAAAAGTGAGCGGGTGTGTGAATCCTTGAGCTCGAAGGTAAATGCGGATAGGGTGAACCAACGAGTTGGTGAAAAGGTCCGGCAGAGAGAACAACATGTACTTCTGGCCGATGCGAGTGATATTAGGATCTTGACGAAGATAAACGAAGATATTAAACATGTTCATCCAAAAAACCGATATTAAAACCGACGTGAACAAGAGGAAAACCACGTAACGATGCAGGGTTAATGACAGAAGTTTAGTTCTTCGAGCACCAAAGGCTTGGGAACAAAGCGGCTCCATACCTAAAGCAAGCCCAAAAAGCACCGAATACCCCGTAATGTTAGCAAATGCTATAGCTAATGAACCGGCGGCGAGCTCGACATCGCCAAGACGCCCTAGGAAGACCATGGAAACCATGGAACGAGAATAGAGAATGAGACCGGTCAAGGCTATGGGAAAAGCTAGACTAAAAAGCGATTTCGCTTCCGTTACGATCTCCGACACCAAGGGGTATTGCTGATGATGATCATGATGCTTTTCCGGATCTTTCATGGAGTCGGGCAATGGTAAAAGATCGAAATAAAGATGGGTTTGGGAGGGTTTGTCGGTGGGATGAGTACCGGTGCCGGTGCAGGTGCCTTGGTTACACATGGTTATAAGCTTAGAGATATTCTTATAAAGAGCACTCCCTCTCTAAAGGACATAACCTTAGAATCGATGGTGTTTGTGCTTCAACTGAGATATAACACACACTATGTGTATATATATATAGGAGGAGCCGAGGTGGGGTTTTATTAATTTATTTTGTTTTACTTTATTACGTGGTTTAAAGAAAGAGGCATCAGTGTTTGTCATATAGGTTCAATTTCCGATAAGTGAAATGTTGTTTTTACGAGATATTGCTCTGTTTCTTTTAGCTGATTTCATGATTATTGGTATCTTTCTTCTCCACAAGGCTCGCCACTGATCTCCGTTTCTCATAATGTGATTTACACTACGTGAAATGGTAATGGCACGTGCATTTAAAAGCTGGATTCTGTCTCTCTTTTTACCACTGAGAGAGCCGTGGAGTAGGGTACAAGAGAGGACTGATAACAGAGTAGGGGCCTGAGTTTCCAACGACCGAGTTTTACACTTCTATTTATCTGATTGGCCGTCTTATCTTTTTCATCCAAAGTTTAGGATTACGTGATCAACGGAGGAGAAAGAGGTATACCAGAATTCACCCCACCATGTATGATTGTGGCTATGAGAGCTCCTCCCATTGCCAAACTAGAGAAAATCAGGAGCTTCTCTCTTGTTCCTGAAGTGTAAAACACTGTACTGAATAGCTTCTTGATGGACATTGAAATTTAAGTGAGGGCTGCCCCATTGATAATAATGGTTTTATAACTTATCCAAGTTCTGAAAATTGCTACTTTTTCCCCTTCTAATTTAAGTGAGGGTTGCCTCATTGAATAGCTATGGTTTCCTAATATTTTTATAAACATAATTCCAAATTTTAGATTTCGGGTTTAAAATATTACTTGCATTCATTTAGAGAGGTTTTATATATTTTTCCCCCTTCATTTAGGATTAGAAATATTTTTAACAAGACATACAATTTGGTTAAATTTGATTTGATATATAATAAAATCATCTTGCCGAGAAAAAAATATATTTTTTGCTTTAACAGCACAATTTGCATTAGTAAAAAGTGTAGTTAATATTGGATGTTGACCACAACCAAATACAACTGTTTTTTTTATTTAAAAAAAGCTGGTCAAATTGTGGTTTATGATCCTTTATTTTATTAAGCTTAAATTATTCTTTTAATAGTATGAGTTGATTTCAATGTTGTATATGTTCATAATATTTCTTAGTATTGACAACACACCTGTAAACGTAGCTACTTGAACCCAATACCTCTAGAGAAATAATATTCTCTTTAATTAGTGAGTTTAAATTCCTTTAAAAAAATGCTTACAAACACATAAAAATATATGTAAAATAATGAATAAAATGAAATCAGAATACCAGCTTAAAGAGACAAAATGTAAATAACTATAAAAAAATGGAAGATAACTTCCGAGTTAAAGGGATGCTTTTATTTAACTATTTAAGGGCAATTTAATATTACTTCTTAAGAGTGTCGTAAAAAATGTTCTTAAATATTTTGTTTGGATTTCAAGGTTTAGTACCACAGTATAAAGCGTGCTTTTAAAAAAGATAAAATATATATGTTAGATATAATATTGTAAAAAGAAGATAAATTATTGATGATAATAATTTTAGGTTATTATAATGGGTTGGCTTAAAAACTTAATCTAAAGAGTACTTTTGAGGAGCAATGTTAAACACACCCTTAGATTAAGTAATGATATTATAGGAGGGATCAAATTATAAAAATAAAGTGTAGGGACTAAATTCCAATTTTGAGTATAGATGAAGACCCGAAATCAGAATTTGACCCAAGAGAAAGGGAGATTATAATATATATGAAGATCGAATCATGCCAAAAAGCCAAACTTTTTGAACAGCTATATCGGCCTTTTGAGATGGGCCGGGCGGGGGTATTCCTGGTTCAGAATATACAACAAAGCTCAAAAGTTAAAATTTGCAGTGCTTGCTGGTTTAACTGTCAAAAGGAATACCAGAGAAAGATACATACATACAGACATACATATGTATATATGTGTGAAAAGGCCAGCTACTTGCCTCACACGCACTGACAAAGCTAATATTCCAATAGAGAAGGTATGTGATGCAAAGAACCTGTAATATTCACATTGTCATTTGCATGCAGACATTGATACGAAAACGCAACATGGAAGAAACAAAAGGTCCCCTATGGGTAGGGAGGAGGGTACTTGCTTTGCTTTAAAAGGCATGCATATATATTTTAAATTTCCTAGTATGTATGTTTGGAATGTGCCCTTTGTGTGTGTGGGACTTGATATCCTATCCCTAATGGTTTGAGCTGGAACATTCTAAAACCAGGGACCAAACTGTAAGAGACCCACACGCATGCCGTAGCCCACGTGGGGCGCATTTCTGCACATGGTTTGTGAGACATTCTTGTCTAAAATATCCACCTTTACGAATGTAAAACAACTCTGATTTGAGGTTTTTAAATTACTAGCTTGGACTAGGAGTCTAGGACCTTCCCTTGAGCGAGCCACAATGTTTGACCCACTTCATGTTGCACCTCGGAAACAAAAACAATGGGCGAATTGGCTAATGGGGTTGCTGTATATTCGATTTAGACCCATTGGAGAGAGGGATTACAGTCAGATTGTTTTGTGTTCCACAAAGTGAGCACATGTTTTGATTTTCCTTAATTCATGCAGAAGTGATCGGACATAGATTGTGATCACTCACTAAAGTGTTTACAGCTTAACCCGCTTCATTCGTGTAAGTTCAATTATACTTAAAAAATTATGATCACTAAGTTTGAAATTGTTATGAAATCGGAAAAATAATGACGAACAAGATCGCAAAGCAAGAACACATATTTACATGAAAAATCCTAAACGAAAAAACACAAACAATGGAGAAGAAATTCATTACGTTGAAAATATGTTTTGAATCCCACTATTGCAACACGACGAATCCACACAAAATTCCTTCTTCTCTTGGTTTTGATTCTTCACCAAACAAGTTGTATTGTGAACTTCTAGGGCAAACCAAAAACAAAATTGAGGTCATACTATCTAACAAAAGTCAACAACTAGAACCTGTCTAATTCAAATCCTAAAATAATTTGAATTAAAAAATGTTTTGAATCCAAAATAAGTCCAACTAGAATGTCCAAACTGAACATCAGAAACCGAAATGATCAATATATATAAACCAAAATGACTTAACCTAAAATAATCAAACTCAAATACCAAATTAGAATGAGAAAAATCGAAATGATTTAGGCTCGATATGACTAGTCACAAATTCGAATATCCTAAACCCAAAATGAGTCTAACTCAAAACAACTTAAACCCAAAAAAATTGAATCGAACTTAAATTTATCAACAAAAATTAAAATTCAAACTAGTATTGTTTAAACATAAGACTAATAATGCAACAGTTAATTGATGAATGTAGAGGATTGCAAATCCCACTCATCATATTATTAGTGGCCCTGGCTCACGCTCCAATGAATCAGCAGATGAAATGTTCCATTAGAGCAAAACTTATGTATATAAACTAATCTTCATCGTACCATTGATATTCTTCCTTTCTTTCCATGTAAAACATGAGAAAGCATACAACATGTATTAGTTGACCGCCATTTAGATGGAACAAAAGAAGAGATTGGATCTCCCACTGGACAAAGATGATCAATAGAAAATGGTTTGCCCAAAAGGAAAAACACTTGCATGATGGGAATTAGATATGATAGGATTTGAGGGGTCGGCTGACAAATCACCAACGAAATTGGAAAGGCTATGACTGCTTTAAGAATGAACAAAAATGCCATGGATAATGTTTTCTTCTTTCGGATTCATGAATTCTAAAGACTCCACCAAAAAAACATTTACATATTTTGCCAAGTCAATTTCATGGTGCCGATTTGATTCCATTATTCTCGTCCAAAAGTTCCTTTTTGACAAATTGCATATTATAAATGGAAATTGTATACAACATCATCAATGTTTACATATAATAACTTTACTTGTGGTATTTTTCATGGTTAATGACAATATTAGTCTTAGATTGATTTGATTATTTCTTTCCTCGTTTTCTCATTTCTCTTCCTCCAAACTTTGTTAAATTTTTATGTTTTGTTTTGCATATATGAGTTTTGCTATTTTATGTTGTTTGATTAGTTTTCTCATATTCTTGTGAAAATAGTGGATAGTTTTATTTGTCAGTGTAATATTTATTTTCTTTTCTCAATGTTATATTCAACGTCTCTTTTTCATTTGACATATATTTGGTATTCTTGTTGATCTATTCTTGTTTTAGAGCATTCGGTTAATTCTCTTTTATTCATAGACACTCTCATCCTCCAAAGATAGGTCACAATTTAATTGCGATAAAACTAATTGTGATAAACCCTAACCAACCCCCTTTTCCTTTTTTTTTTAAAATTAAAAAAAAAACCCATAGCTTTATACTAAAAACGGTGATAATTGAACGATTTCCTAGTATCTCTATATAACTTGAACCCGGTAATATGGTATGCCAACCCTTAGGTATGTTTGTTAGGGAAATCAAAATGTCAAGCATAAACAATCTTAAAGTTATAGTATTAGTGTTTTAATTTAAATAGTTTACATTATCTTACAAGGATGGGGTTGATTTAAGAGTGGTTAACAATTTAAATAGTAAGAAAATCAAGGTGGGGTTGAAATGAAAGATGTAAAGGTTAACTAATAAGGAATCTAATGATGGTTAAAATCTAATTATTTCTCTAAGATGTGCTTAATTTAAGGGAACCAACCCTGTTGGATTGCCCCATCAACCGGTCAATCTCCTAAAGTAAAAAGATTTATTTTTGATACATTTAAGGATGCAACAATTACACTATTTACACCTAATTAAAAATTCTAATTATCAACTAATCGAATCTTAGTTCGATTGGTATGATTGTTATTGTAACATTCAAGAAGAAAGTTTGAGCCAACTTAAAAGCGCATGATCCTTATTCCAAAAATAATTTAATTATCAATAGACTAAAAACAAATCCTTATACACGTAATGACATAGTCATGATGAAACTTCGTATGGACAAATATAAGTACGGATAAAATGATGATCAAAATCTATTTATTAAATCATCAAATTAAAATTAAAAAGGGAGGGTTATGATCTATTTTTTTTTAATTTTGAAATTAAAAGGGGCCTAAAAAGTATTTAAATCGAAAAAAAATAGGTTAAGACTTAATTAGTTTCAAAACTAAGAGGGACCTAAATAAAAATTAAATCCAAAACTGTTGAAGATCATGTCATGACTCCTTCCACGTTATACATAATTTTATTTTATTCACCACCAATGTACGAAAATATACTAACGTTATAAATAATTTAATCTCTTAAATTATTTTATCTATCGACAGTGTACTATAGTATAAGAACACACAAAAGAAAGTGGGCTTCTTGCTCATCCGAATTTAATTTAATTTTGATATTTCTCATATTGATCTCATCCTATTTAAAATTTATTTGTAATAATGACCATATTTCTAAAAATTGTTAAATGCTGAAAGAGGTATGGAGATGGAGCTGAAGATGTGCTAGCTCTAGAATCAAATGGAGACTACACCAAAGAAATTGGTTACCTTAGGTTCTCTGATTACAACAACAGCATAAAATGCAACATTTCTTCAGAGAATCTGTTCAACAATGTGTGGTACCAAGCTGAAGAGATATTCTCAGTGGATGGGGTTCCAGAACAAAGACAGCATGCGTTCTGGGTTCCAGTCAACGACCACTACTTTACCACTGCAGAAAGAGTTGAGGTAAAAGTTAAAATCATAAACAAGAAAAGGCTTAATCGCTTCAGATTTGACGTGTTAAAAATTAGTCATTATAAAGGTACACGTGTTTTAAATGCGATTCGTATCATATTTGTTTAATGTTTCAAACTAACAATTGAGTTAATGAAATGAGGTACGATATTAATACTTTTAAGAGATCAGGTTTTGAGACTTGGTGGATGCGCGAATGCAACTTGCTTACCAAGACCACCGATGGTGGTGAGAGTAGAAAGAGAGATCAGCTCCAACATCTTTGTGGACAACAGAGCTTATCGTGAGTTGTTGAACGCCAAGTTCAATGCAACAGCAATCGACATGGAGACGGCTGCAGTTGCCCTTGTCTGTCACCAACAAAACACGCCCTTCATTGCATTCAGATCCTTGTCTGATTTAGCCGTTGGGGTTTCTGCCTTGTCCAATGAAGCCTCTGCGTTTGCCTCTTTGGCAGCTCAAAATGCAGTTGATGTTCTTATTAGCTTCACTTCCTTGTTATCTTCATAAGCACATGCCACCAGTTTCTTTCCAAGCCATTTCTTTTGAAATTTTTAAATGATAAATTGATTGCTAGTTTGTTAATGGAAATCCCAACTTCAATAACAACATTGGGTCTTCTTTATATACGAATTATAATTTATACAAATGAATAATGTTAGAATTATGTGATTCAAATTCTCTTTGGTTCTGTCTGAGATGATTTAAAAGAAAAATTCATCTAAAGCAGAAACTAAAATGAGAATATATGGTGACGAGGTACGAAACATTTTAATCGGTGTAAAACTTCATTAAACCCAAGCTTAATGATTAAAATGACTTTTTATGTTTTTTTCCGTTCGCAAACGACGTCGTCTCTCTTGGAAAGTCAGAAAAGACTGAATCTCAAAAGAATCTCACAGAATCATTAGGCAAAAGGACGGGAAAATGGAGCAACCACTACCGAAGAGTTGGAGCATACACACCCGACCCGAGATCATCGCCAAGTACGATATCCTGGAGCGCGTAGGTTCAGGCGCCTACTCCGACGTCTACAGGGCGCGTCGACTCTCCGACAACCTCATAGTCGCCCTCAAGGAAGTCCACGACTACCAATCGGCGTTCAGGGAAATCGAGGCCTCGCAAATGCTTCATAACTGCCCCAACATAGTCGTCTTGCACGAGTACTTTTGGCGGGAAGACGAGGATGCCGTGCTCGTCTTGGAGTTCTTGAGGACCGATTTGGCGGCGGTTATCCGCGACGCGAAAAAGAAGGAAGGTGGGATATGGGTCGGTGAAATTAAGAGGTGGATGCTCCAGATTTTGTGTGGGGTTGACGCTTGTCATCGGAAGTTTAGGGTTTAGGGTTCAGGGGTCAGGGGTCAGGGGTCAGGGGTCAGGGGTCAGGGGTCAGGGTTCAGGGTTCAGGGTTCAGGGTTTAGGGTTCAGGGTTCAGGGTTCAGGGTTCAGGGTTCAGGGTTCAGGGTTCAGGGTTCAGGGTTCAGGGTTCAGGGTTTAGGGTTCAGGGTTCAGGGTTCAGGGTTCAGGGAGGAGGGTACTTGCTTTGCTTTAAAAGGCATGCATATATATTTTAAATTTCCTAGTATGTATGTTTGGAATGTGCCCTTTGTGTGTGGGACTTATATCCTATCCCTAATGGTTTGAGCTGGAACATTCTAAAACCAGGGACCAAACTGTAAGAGACCCACATGCATGCCGTAGCCCACGTGGGGCGCATTTCTGCACATGGTTTGTGAGACATTCTTGTCTAAAATATCCACCTTTACGAATGTAAAACAACTCTGATTTGAGGTTTTTAAATTACTAGCTTGGACTAGGAGTCTAGGACCTTCCCTTGAGCGAGCCACAATGTTTGACCCACTTCATGTTGCACCTCGGAAACAAAAACAATGGGCGAATTGGCTAATGGGGTTGCTGTATATTCGATTTAGACCCATTGGAGAGAGGGATTACAGTCAGATTGTTTTGTGTTCCACAAAGTGAGCACATGTTTTGATTTTCCTTAATTCATGCAGAAGTGATCGGACATAGATTGTGATCACTCACTAAAGTGTTTACAGCTTAACCCGCTTCATTCGTGTAAGTTCAATTATACTTAAAAAATTATGATCACTAAGTTTGAAATTGTTATGAAATCGGAAAAATAATGACGAACAAGATCGCAAAGCAAGAACACATATTTACATGAAAAATCCTAAACGAAAAAACACAAACAATGGAGAAGAAATTCATTACGTTGAAAATATGTTTTGAATCCCACTATTGCAACACGACGAATCCACACAAAATTCCTTCTTCTCTTGGTTTTGATTCTTCACCAAACAAGTTGTATTGTGAACTTCTAGGGCAAACCAAAAACAAAATTGAGGTCATACTATCTAACAAAAGTCAACAACTAGAACCTGTCTAATTCAAATCCTAAAATAATTTGAATTAAAAAATGTTTTGAATCCAAAATAAGTCCAACTAGAATGTCCAAACTGAACATCAGAAACCGAAATGATCAATATATATATAAACCAAAATGACTTAACCTAAAATAATCAAACTCAAATACCAAATTAGAATGAGAAAAATCGAAATGATTTAGGCTCGATATGACTAGTCACAAATTCGAATATCCTAAACCCAAAATGAGTCTAACTCAAACAACTTAAACCCAAAAAATTGAATCGAACTTAAATTTATCAACAAAAATTAAAATTCAAACTAGTATTGTTTAAACATAAGACTAATAATGCAACAGTTAATTGATGAATGTAGAGGATTGCAAATCCCACTCATCATATTATTAGTGGCCCTGGCTCACGCTCCAATGAATCAGCAGATGAAATGTTCCATTAGAGCAAAACTTATGTATATAAACTAATCTTCATCGTACCATTGATATTCTTCCTTTCTTTCCATGTAAAACATGAGAAAGCATACAACATGTATTAGTTGACCGCCATTTAGATGGAACAAAAGAAGAGATTGGATCTCCCACTGGACAAAGATGATCAATAGAAAATGGTTTGCCCAAAAGGAAAAACACTTGCATGATGGGAATTAGATATGATAGGATTTGAGGGGTCGGCTGACAAATCACCAACGAAATTGGAAAGGCTATGACTGCTTTAAGAATGAACAAAAATGCCATGGATAATGTTTTCTTCTTTCGGATTCATGAATTCTAAAGACTCCACCAAAAAAACATTTACATATTTTGCCAAGTCAATTTCATGGTGCCGATTTGATTCCATTATTCTCGTCCAAAAGTTCCTTTTTGACAAATTGCATATTATAAATGGAAATTGTATACAACATCATCAATGTTTACATATAATAACTTTACTTGTGGTATTTTTCATGGTTAATGACAATATTAGTCTTAGATTGATTTGATTATTTCTTTCCTCGTTTTCTCATTTCTCTTCCTCCAAACTTTGTTAAATTTTTATGTTTTGTTTTGCATATATGAGTTTTGCTATTTTATGTTGTTTGATTAGTTTTCTCATATTCTTGTGAAAATAGTGGATAGTTTTATTTGTCAGTGTAATATTTATTTTCTTTTCTCAATGTTATATTCAACGTCTCTTTTTCATTTGACATATATTTGGTATTCTTGTTGATCTATTCTTGTTTTAGAGCATTCGGTTGATTCTCTTTTATTCATAGACACTCTCATCCTCCAAAGATAGGTCACAATTTAATTGCGATAAAACTAATTGTGATAAACCCTAACCAACCCCCTTTTCCTTTTTTTTTAAAAATTTAAAAAAAAACCCATAGCTTTATACTAAAAACGGTGATAATTGAACGATTTCCTAGTATCTCTATATAACTTGAACCCGGTAATATGGTATGCCAACCCTTAGGTATGTTTGTTAGGGAAATCAAAATGTCAAGCATAAACAATCTTAAAGTTATAGTATTAGTGTTTTAATTTAAATAGTTTACATTATCTTACAAGGATGGGGTTGATTTAAGAGTGGTTAACAATTTAAATAGTAAGAAAATCAAGGTGGGGTTGAAATGAAAGATGTAAAGGTTAACTAATAAGGAATCTAATGATGGTTAAAATCTAATTATTTCTCTAAGATGTGCTTAATTTAAGGGAACCAACCCTGTTGGATTGCCCCATCAACCGGTCAATCTCCTAAAGTAAAAAGATTTATTTTTGATACATTTAAGGATGCAACAATTACACTATTTACACCTAATTAAAAATTCTAATTATCAACTAATCGAATCTTAGTTCGATTGGTATGATTGTTATTGTAACATTCAAGAAGAAAGTTTGAGCCAACTTAAAAGCGCATGATCCTTATTCCAAAAATAATTTAATTATCAATAGACTAAAAAACAAATCCTTATACACGTAATGACATAGTCATGATGAAACTTCGTATGGACAAATATAAGTACGGATAAAATGATGATCAAAATCTATTTATTAAATCATCAAATTAAAATTAAAAAGGGAGGGTTATGATCTATTTTTTTTAATTTTGAAATTAAAAGGGGCCTAAAAAGTATTTAAATCGAAAAAAAATAGGTTAAGACTTAATTAGTTTCAAAACTAAGAGGGACCTAAATAAAAATTAAATCCAAAACTGTTGAAGATCATGTCATGACTCCTTCCACGTTATACATAATTTTATTTTATTCACCACCAATGTACGAAAATATACTAACGTTATAAATAATTTAATCTCTTAAATTATTTTTATCTATCGACAGTGTACTATAGTATAAGAACACACAAAAGAAAGTGGGCTTCTTGCTCATCCGAATTTAATTTAATTTTGATATTTCTCATATTGATCTCATCCTATTTAAAATTTATTTGTAATAATGACCATATTTCTAAAAATTGTTAAATGCTGAAAGAGGTATGGAGATGGAGCTGAAGATGTGCTAGCTCTAGAATCAAATGGAGACTACACCAAAGAAATTGGTTACCTTAGGTTCTCTGATTACAACAACAGCATAAAATGCAACATTTCTTCAGAGAATCTGTTCAACAATGTGTGGTACCAAGCTGAAGAGATATTCTCAGTGGATGGGGTTCCAGAACAAAGACAGCATGCGTTCTGGGTTCCAGTCAACGACCACTACTTTACCACTGCAGAAAGAGTTGAGGTAAAAGTTAAAATCATAAACAAGAAAAGGCTTAATCGCTTCAGATTTGACGTGTTAAAAATTAGTCATTATAAAGGTACACGTGTTTTAAATGCGATTCGTATCATATTTGTTTAATGTTTCAAACTAACAATTGAGTTAATGAAATGAGGTACGATATTAATACTTTTAAGAGATCAGGTTTTGAGACTTGGTGGATGCGCGAATGCAACTTGCTTACCAAGACCACCGATGGTGGTGAGAGTAGAAAGAGAGATCAGCTCCAACATCTTTGTGGACAACAGAGCTTATCGTGAGTTGTTGAACGCCAAGTTCAATGCAACAGCAATCGACATGGAGACGGCTGCAGTTGCCCTTGTCTGTCACCAACAAAACACGCCCTTCATTGCATTCAGATCCTTGTCTGATTTAGCCGTTGGGGTTTCTGCCTTGTCCAATGAAGCCTCTGCGTTTGCCTCTTTGGCAGCTCAAAATGCAGTTGATGTTCTTATTAGCTTCACTTCCTTGTTATCTTCATAAGCACATGCCACCAGTTTCTTTCCAAGCCATTTCTTTTGAAATTTTTAAATGATAAATTGATTGCTAGTTTGTTAATGGAAATCCCAACTTCAATAACAACATTGGGTCTTCTTTATATACGAATTATAATTTATACAAATGAATAATGTTAGAATTATGTGATTCAAATTCTCTTTGGTTCTGTCTGAGATGATTTAAAAGAAAAATTCATCTAAAGCAGAAACTAAAATGAGAATATATGGTGACGAGGTACGAAACATTTTAATCGGTGTAAAACTTCATTAAACCCAAGCTTAATGATTAAAATGACTTTTATGTTTTTTTCCGTTCGCAAACGACGTCGTCTCTCTTGGAAAGTCAGAAAAGACTGAATCTCAAAAGAATCTCACAGAATCATTAGGCAAAAGGACGGGAAAATGGAGCAACCACTACCGAAGAGTTGGAGCATACACACCCGACCCGAGATCATCGCCAAGTACGATATCCTGGAGCGCGTAGGTTCAGGCGCCTACTCCGACGTCTACAGGGCGCGTCGACTCTCCGACAACCTCATAGTCGCCCTCAAGGAAGTCCACGACTACCAATCGGCGTTCAGGGAAATCGAGGCCTCGCAAATGCTTCATAACTGCCCCAACATAGTCGTCTTGCACGAGTACTTTTGGCGGGAAGACGAGGATGCCGTGCTCGTCTTGGAGTTCTTGAGGACCGATTTGGCGGCGGTTATCCGCGACGCGAAAAAGAAGGAAGGTGGGATATGGGTCGGTGAAATTAAGAGGTGGATGCTCCAGATTTTGTGTGGGGTTGACGCTTGTCATCGGAAGTTTAGGGTTTAGGGTTCAGGGGTCAGGGGTCAGGGGTCAGGGGTCAGGGGTCAGGGTTCAGGGTTCAGGGTTCAGGGTTCAGGGTTCAGGGTTCAGGGTTCAGGGTTCAGGGTTCAGGGTTCAGGGTTCAGGGTTCAGGGTTCAGGGTTCAGGGTTCAGGGTTCAGGGTTCAGGGTTCAGGGAGGAGGGTACTTGCTTTGCTTTAAAAGGCATGCATATATATTTTAAATTTCCTAGTATGTATGTTTGGAATGTGCCCTTTGTGTGTGGGACTTGATATCCTATCCCTAATGGTTTGAGCTGGAACATTCTAAAACCAGGGACCAAACTGTAAGAGACCCACATGCATGCCGTAGCCCACGTGGGGCGCATTTCTGCACATGGTTTGTGAGACATTCTTGTCTAAAATATCCACCTTTACGAATGTAAAACAACTCTGATTTGAGGTTTTTAAATTACTAGCTTGGACTAGGAGTCTAGGACCTTCCCTTGAGCGAGCCACAATGTTTGACCCACTTCATGTTGCACCTCGGAAACAAAAACAATGGGCGAATTGGCTAATGGGGTTGCTGTATATTCGATTTAGACCCATTGGAGAGAGGGATTACAGTCAGATTGTTTTGTGTTCCACAAAGTGAGCACATGTTTTGATTTTCCTTAATTCATGCAGAAGTGATCGGACATAGATTGTGATCACTCACTAAAGTGTTTACAGCTTAACCCGCTTCATTCGTGTAAGTTCAATTATACTTAAAAAATTATGATCACTAAGTTTGAAATTGTTATGAAATCGGAAAAATAATGACGAACAAGATCGCAAAGCAAGAACACATATTTACATGAAAAATCCTAAACGAAAAAACACAAACAATGGAGAAGAAATTCATTACGTTGAAAATATGTTTTGAATCCCACTATTGCAACACGACGAATCCACACAAAATTCCTTCTTCTCTTGGTTTTGATTCTTCACCAAACAAGTTGTATTGTGAACTTCTAGGGCAAACCAAAAACAAAATTGAGGTCATACTATCTAACAAAAGTCAACAACTAGAACCTGTCTAATTCAAATCCTAAAATAATTTGAATTAAAAAATGTTTTGAATCCAAAATAAGTCCAACTAGAATGTCCAAACTGAACATCAGAAACCGAAATGATCAATATATATATAAACCAAAATGACTTAACCTAAAATAATCAAACTCAAATACCAAATTAGAATGAGAAAAATCGAAATGATTTAGGCTCGATATGACTAGTCACAAATTCGAATATCCTAAACCCAAAATGAGTCTAACTCAAAACAACTTAAACCCAAAAAAATTGAATCGAACTTAAATTTATCAACAAAAATTAAAATTCAAACTAGTATTGTTTAAACATAAGACTAATAATGCAACAGTTAATTGATGAATGTAGAGGATTGCACCTTCCCGAGATTGAAGAACAAGATTTACAGAAAAGTTTTCACTCAAGAACATCTTCTGTCGAGCCTCACAATCTAACAACATCTCAGTAAGAATATCAAGAGAAAAATTTTCTCGTGATGCAATTACAATAATAGACTCAAATTCCATTGTAAGTCCAGCTAACACAACATTAACATGTTCTTGCTCAGTAACCACACTACCTGAAGCATTCAACAAATCACATATGGATTTGACTTTGGCAAGATACTCCCTAATCGTCAAACCAGTCTTTCGCTGGGAATGAAGATTATGTCGAAGAGAAGAAATCTTGGCACTGGAACGAGCACCAAACAGACGAGATATAGTATTCCAGATTGACATCGCAGTTGTAAGTCCAGTCAAGTGAGGCAGAACCTCTGTACTCACAGTAGTTAAAAGCCAGGAAGCAAGCAGTTTATCTTGCTGACGATGAGCTGCAAACACTGGATTCTCTTCAAGTTGTCCAGACGCATTAGTGATGAACTCATCTGGTGCAACATATCCGACTGAGATGAACCTCAGCAACCCATAGCCATCAATTATCAACGCCACTTGATGCTTCCAAAGAAGGTATGTGGATTCAGTGAGTTTAACAGTATCATGCTTTGGTATGTGTTGAATGCCAAACATACGTTGAGATGTTCCCGGACTCAGGGAAGAAGCATTCGGAGACACATCCTCGGGATCAACCGTCAAATCAACCATGATGCCAAGAATCACACGAGACGTGAAAGCTTAATCTCGTGCAGCTACTGAAAAGGAGAAGACACAGCGGAAGAAACACACCCAGGTATTGGCGAAAGATACCATGATAAGATAGCAGTTTAACTATCTATGAAAACAAGAAAGAAACTGAAAGATCTTGTAATCTTTTTATTATCAAGAAGCTGATCTCTCTTGAATTAGAGAGCAGTATTTATACAGTCAATAAGGAAAGTATATGCTGCTATAAAGAACGGTTAACAGCTCAACAAACTAACTGCTACAATCTAACAAACTATTCTAGAACAACATTATTCTAGAACTCACAACATATCCACAATCACAAGCACATGTTCACTAACATTCACCCTGCTTTATTAACTTCTTCAGCACTTCTTGACTTCAATACATAAGACCTCGAAAGGAAGCTACACAACAACTTAACGCTATCGTTCGTACAAGATGTCGAACCAGCAGCGCCCGATCACTTTCCCCGCGTTCAGACAACACAACCGTAAAGAAATTTCACACTCACGACTCCAGAGGCCTCCACTGCTAAGTAATTTGACATAGAGCAAGGACAAAGACCAAAGTCACTAGAATGCCATGCTATATCGAACCCGTTCTCATGCTGTCCATGCTATATAAAAAGATGGACAGCATTCCACTCCAGGTATACGAATACATATAACACAGAAAACCAACTAGCCACCCAGACAGCTGTTGCCCACTTGAAGACCAACAACCATCCACCCTCTACAGAGGAGCAACACTACCCTTGCAACCATCCCCACAACTCCAGACCTGCAGACCTCAATGGGATTCAACACCTGCATCAAACCAGTAGATACTAGCAAGTGCAATACAGCAAAACAAGCTCACCCCACAACCAAGTTTTCTATACAACAAATCCAAAATCTAAGATCACAGACTAATTATAATCACCATAACTTTCACCATCATATCATCAATCAGCCCAAGAAAAAGATTTAAAAAAACCAGAAGTGCAGAAAGCGGTCAGAACATCAATGAAACATCAGGGACAAGATAAGGATCCATTCGGCCTTCTGGTAAAATCCATAATATTTGGAACCAGAAGTGGTCATTTACTATTACACCAGAATCCAATCCGAAGGACAGCCACCTCAAAGATTTGATCACCTTTTAGAATTTTGCTTTTGAACAGGGCTACATTCCTGCTAAGCCAAATAGACCATGAAATACCAAAAAAAGGCCATATTCTAAACTTGTTTAGAAGTTTTGCAGAATGGTTGACTATCCCAAATGGTAAGAAAAGATTTCATGTTGTCCGGGATGATAAGATTGACGTTCCAAAAGGTGCACCAATTTACCAAATTCTCCAAACTATCTCATAATGACAAAATAAATGAATGACCGATTCTTGTTTCGAATGAAAAAGCCACATACTGCCGACTCCAAATTTGACACCCCCTCTTTTGGCCAACTCTACAGAGGAAGGGATTCTATGTTGAAGGAGCTTCGAAACGAACGCTTCAACTTTTGGTGGGGCTAAATTTGCCCACACCAAGGACCAAAGAGAATCCTTATCATTTTTGAATATTGATGCATCCCTACAATAAAGCCTTGGACAGTATCTACCATTCGGAGATCCAATCCATGACAAATGATCCACATCGGCTCTAATATTTGCTGTTCTGTTGATTGTATTCATAAAATCATCCCATATGTTAGTTTCCCATTAAAAAGTAACTCTTCTAATTTTAATATTTCAAATCCACGAGCCATTACACTTACACCAAAATCACGAATCTTCCCACTCTTTTAACTGTAACACCGTAAATCAGCAAAAAAACTCTTTTAGAGAGGGAACTTCAGTCCACCAGTCATCCCAAAACTCCATCAGTTCTCCATCTACGACAAATGCACTTCAGGTTTTTGGTGAACAAATCACCATCCTTAGTTAAGGGAAGGCAATGTTTTTTCCACATCCAAGACGATTTCCAAGGATTGAGGGGACGAGGCACTAGTGAAGACTGGTCAGAACCATACTTAGCATCGATTGTCCCCTTCCATAAGCAATCAGACTCGCAACCATACCTTCAAACCCATTTATTAG